ATGATAATGTTAGAACCGAGGTACGGTCCAATTTTCAAAACAATACTGTTTGATGCTGTAGAATCATTTTTGTGATCTATTTTACAGATTATTCATGAGGAAATTTCAAAAATATTATTTTTGGTATGTCGGTTTTAAGAAATGCAATTATATGTTGTCCATTTTTAAAAATACTACTGATTAGAGATTTTCTATACTTTAAACTCTAAAATCTTAAATTTTTTAAAAAGATTTTGATCTCTATCAAACCCTAAACATTAAAAACGAACTCTAACATAAAATTTTTAATCCAAAAATAAATGATATTTTGAATAAATATTTTTTGCTAGTATTTTTTTGAGAAATTTCAAAAACTACCACTTTTCAAGTGCTAATTTACAAAAATGTCGCACTTTTAAAATCTTTACAAAAATGCCATTTTTTCAAAATTATTTTTTCTTTATATTATTTAGGTTTGGGTTAACTATGTTCTATTAGGGTTTAGTTACAAGGGTTTAGAGGTCAAAACATTTTTTAGTGTTTGGAATTTTAAGATATAGAGTTTAAAAAACTATAATTAGTGGTATTTTTGAAAATGAACACCTCTAAATGGTATTTTTACAAATATGCATATACAAAATGATATTTTTGTAATTTTCTCTTTTTTTTTAATTGGCATTTTATAAAATTTCTTCCATCGTCATTTTGCTCTGTATTTTCAATTTTTGCAATCCTATAATATATCAATATTATCTCTTAATCTGGTTCAACAACCGAAAAATAAAATATTAGGATTTCATATACTAATTTTGGATACGATATGATATGAGTACTTTTTTATAGAAAACTTAAGATATTCATATTTTATTGATAATCATTTCATATTGATATTAAAGTATATGTGTAACATGAATATTTATTGTTTTGTTTCGTAATTTTTTAACTTTTTTTTCAAAATACCAACTTCTTAATATGAGTTTTATTTTTTCTTTGCAAGTTTAGAATGTAAGATATTTAGTTTGTATTAGAGATATAATTTATCATATAATAAACTATTTTTCTCTCTCTTGTTTCTTGAAGTTCGCCTTAAAAGCAATTGCCGCCTCTCCTCTTTCGTCTACCTCTCCGACGTCTGACTCTTGTCGGCGATGTGAGAGGCTACGCTTCCATCTTTTTGTTGCCTACGACGTTTCAACCGTGGTAAGAATTCTTTTTCCGATAACTTTTTTCTTGCCATGTCCTTCACCCTGGTGGTGGTTTTTGCTGGCTACATGTGCTCTTTCAGTGGTTTCGTGGCTAAGGTTGAGGTCTTCTCCCTGATATCCAATGTTAAGGATGAGATATGGCTTGCTTCCTCTCCGAGGTGCTCTACGGTGGCCTCTGGTGTTGATGCTCTTGTGGTGGCTCAGTCCCTTGGTACGACGCGGTGGCAGATCTGAAGTCTAGGGTATGGTGTGGTGGTGAGTGGTCCCGTGGTATGGAAGTGTCGCATGTCTCCCCTAGGCATAAGATATGTTAGGGGACAGAGGATCTCACGACTACCGAGCTCTCCCGATGAAATCTGATTCCATGGTTCCTTTTCTCCCTTATATGCTTCTCTAGTGCTCGACACCTATGTAAAGCTTCGGCTCACGTCTCAGAGTTCAAAGCTTTCCTTTCTATGTCTCATGGTTTGTCGTTCAAGGTCGTGGTGGTAGATTTTGGCTCTGCGAGTGTGGATCTTCCCGATCTGCAACTCTGGATTTGGTTTCTTCAGGGCTAAGCTGCATGG